AGGGGGTTGGTGAGGGTGGTCACCAGGAAAATGTGAGGAACAAAAGAGAACTGCATCTTTTTTGTAGCCAACCACTGATGTGCATCCGTGCCAGCAGGCCGCGGTCTTGATTCCATGGTGCTTGTACAAGTTCAAGATGGCCTTGGTGAGTCAGGGCAGCCATCATTTCACCTGTCTGTCTCCTCTTCTGTTGTCCCTGTTCAGTTTCTTCTTCTAGTCAGTATTGAACCCACTATTCTATCCTTTTCTCTGAAACTTGGAGTTCCAGGATTATCATCTGTATCTGTGTAAAGCATCTGTGTCACATGTCTGTTTACTCTACCATCTTGCCAGAAGTCCCCTTCTTTACTCTTTGTGATAGATTTTGATATAAAAGTCTGTTTTATCTGATACCAGTATGGCCAGCCCTGCTCTTTTTTTAGTGTTGCATAGGATATTTTTCTCTATGCTTTGCTTTTCAGTCTGGTTTGCATCCTTATGTCTATGGTGCATTTCTTATAAACTATAAAAGAGACCATGGTTTGTTTGTTTTTTACTCCTTACTCTATTCTGCCACTCTGAGCCTTCTGTATGGGATGCTTAGATCATTTGAAGTGTCTACATCATCCATATCACTATTTGCTTTTTGAATGTTTTGTGCATAATTTGTTTTTGTATTTTAATTCTACTTTGGTTTTTATTTGGCAACAATCTTATGACAAGCTTTTTTCCAAACTTTCTTTTCTTATTCTGAATATTTCCTTTTAGTGAGTTCTTAGTAGTTACAACATTACCATACACAACTTAATTGTGTAACGTTTAACATAATAAACAGCTAACATACAACCCCAAAACAATGAATCTATTCCTGAATGCTTCTCCCTCTCCCATTTCTGCTGATTACTTTATTTTATACTTATTTCAGATAAATTTGATATTTGGTTCAGGGGATTTATTGATAGAATTTATGTACTGATGATATCATAGACTTGAGTCGTTATGATTGCCTGTGTTGTTGTGTTTCTTGGATAAATCTCTCTCGGGATAATCTATTTATTTCCTTCCCTGGATACATGACTATTTAGTTAATGCTCTTACCGTTCCATTTGGAGTTCTCTCTTGAGTACTTGTAAACTGGTCTGGTAGTGGCAAATTCTCACAGCTTCTGATTTTGGAGGGATGTTTTCCCTCTCAAGTTTGAATGACAACTTGGCTGGGTAAATTCTTGGTTGGAAATTGCTTTTGTTTAGCCGGGCTCTCTAAGAGAAGTAAAATCAGTGAAACTTTTATGGGAGAGGACTTCAAAAAGTTTGTGGGAAAATGCCACTGTATTTCCATTTTTCCATATACTTTTAAATCCCCTTGGTATATGTATATAGTCATCTGCTGCTATTAGGTGCCACCAAGTCAGTTCTGACTCACAGCAACCCTAAGTAGAGTTTCTGAGGCTGCAAATCTTTATGGAAGTAGACCGCCTCATTGTTCTCCCTCAGAGCAGCTGGAGGGTTTGAATTGCTGACCTTGTGATTTGCAGTCCAGTGCTGATCCAACAGCGCCACAACAGGAGTCCAACGTTGTTGTTGTTAAGTGCCATCGAGTCGGTTCTGACACATAGTGACCCTGTATAGGGTGTCCAAGGAGTGGCTGGTGAGCTTAAACCATTGACTGTGTGGTTCAAACTGACCTTGCAGTCCATTGCATGAACCCACAGCACCACTCCAAGAGTACACTGTGCTCTGTATATTCATTTATGTTGTTAAGTGCTGCTGTGTCAGTGCCGACTCATCCAGTGCTTATGCTACAGTGCCACACCAGGCTAGAGAGAGATTTATCTCAAGAAAATAGTTCACATAGTTGTACAGGCTGACAAGTTCCATGTCCATGGCAAGACATCAAGTGGGAAGTTTCTCTTGAACACAAAACTAGGGCCAGCAGTCAGATGGCAGGCTGCTGACTCAGAGGTTACCAAAGTGGACAAATCCAAGATTAGCAGGTGCTCTAAGAACTGAAGATCAGATGATGACACGCCAGACACAGAATTTAGTGCACGCAAACAACCTGAGTGCTGCGTCAGAACGTTCATATATACTGGATACATCCACGAGGAACTGCCCTTCCAACTGACTGGTTGCTCACAGTGAATCTCATCACCAGAGTGATTAGATTACATTTGATCTCATCATGGAGATGATAATGTCATTGTATAACTACCAAACGACATCATTAACTGCCAAACCACAGGTAGTCACGGTCCAACCAATACATGTTGCTTAACCCTCACAATATACGTTATTCAATTATCTTCTGGCCTCTCGAGTTTTTAGGAAGAAATCTACACTGATTCTTAGGAAAGTTGCTGGTAATATTAAATGTTTCTCTTCAGAACTTTAGAATTCTCCCCTTTGAGTTTCAAGAATTTTATTAGGAATCATCGTGATTCAACAAATTGTATGCTTGGCTGAATGTAAAGCTAATGTCTGTTAAAAAAGAAAGAAAATAAAAAAAAAAGAATTTTATTAGGATTTGGAGTCCGGGTGTAGTGCTATAGGACAAAGCACTGGACCACAAGGGCCATTTGAACCACAAGGTTGGCGGTTCAAATTCTCCAGTTGTTCCTTGGAAACCCTAAACAGGGGTTGCTATGAGTTGGAACCACCTCGATAGCACCTGGCACAACAACAAATGGCACATAGCTGATCTTTTTAGTTCTCCTTTGATTGGGGTTCTTGTAAGTTTCCTGTATCTGCAGGCTTGGTTCTTTGTTCAGACCTTTGTTCTGATTACCTTTTGAAAAACTGTTTCTGTGCCTTTAGCTTTGGTGTGGCACTGTAGGATGAGCACTGGACTGCTGACTGCAAGGTGGGCAGTTCAAATCCATCAACCACTCTCAAGAATCCTGTAAAGGGCTGCTGTGATCAGAACCAACTCAACAGCATAGAACAATATTATTGGAATGGTGCTCTAGGATTTCAGTAATTCTAATGCCAGATATCTTAACTGACTCATTTCTTTTTGGGTTTGTTCACTATTTTTGATTCTTTCTCTCTTGACAATTCTGTTGCTTTTGCCTTGTAATTCATTTATTCCATCTTCCATCTGTTTGACTCTATTGTTGAGTGTTTCTCTTGCCTCTTATACTTTCAGTAGGTTTATTCTTTAGTTCTACTGGTCTCTATGGGTTTTGTCTGATGTTTTCTATTTCCTTGCTTAGTCTCTAATTTTATTCCTCCACTTGTTTCTTGTTCCCTAATAGTTTATCTTAAAATTATAAATTCTTTGCTACCACAGGAGAAATTTCCTTTTCTTCATGCTTTGCTTTGATTGGTCCTTCTCACAATCCTTGCTATGTTTGAGCCCATTGATGCTGCCACTCTGCCAACCCATCTCGCTGGGGGGTCTTCCTCTTTTTCTCTGACCCTCCACCTTACCAAACATGATTTCCTTTTCCAGTGATTGGTCCCTCCTAATAATATGTTGGAAGCATGAGACAAAGTCTGGCCATCTTGTCCTCCAAGGAGCACTCTGGCTATACTTCATCCAACACAGATCTATTACTTGTGACTTAGTGTGTTTTAATATTTTATATTGAACTTGGGCCTTTAACTATTTTTTCACTTTCAATTTTTTATTCTGGGAAATGTTTTGTCTGGTTTTCTGGTCTTCTGATTAGGCACAGTGGCCAAGCATCTGGCTGCCAAATGAAAAGCAAGGTTTCACATACACCACTGATTTCCCAGCATTCCACCTCCACAAAGGCACCAGCCTTGGGGGTCCCACAGGGCTGCTCTACTCTGCCTCACACGTTTATTTTTAGTCAAAACTGATCCAATGACAGCAGGGCTAGCATCTTCTCCTGAGACCCACCAAAGACAACTCTTATCCTTAGATGTTTTTCAGCACCGATTCAGGAGTTCTGAATGCTTGATCCTTGCAATTCAATATACATTTGCAGAAAGGGGGATTTTAACCTGTCTACAGAGGCTGATGTAAATGGCGGGACTCAACTTACGTTATTCTTTCATGGACATCTGAAAACTTCTGTAGCAAAGTTTTAAATTAGAGAACATAAGAGAATTCTTTGAGGTCAGTAGTAGCTTTTAAGAACATGTGGTAAGACAGTTGTGACACAGAAGGTAAAAGAGCCTCTCACTTGGTGGCGAAGCAAAACTAGAGCTCGTCTGTGCCGTGCGATCTCAGGGCTTCACGAGGAACTTTGCACTGACAGACTGCTGCAGTAACAGTCCCAATCAATCACATCCTGCCCTCCCCCCCTCCGTAGCCACATCCTCAGGGCTCCCTCCCCAGAGGGATGCTGAGCTTGGTCACTGCGGAATTTGGATATTAGCAAACATGATCCAAGGAGAGACTTGAAAAGCCCACTAGAGTTTGACCTCTCCTGCTGCTCTGAGAGTCCGGCAACCACCTCCATGTATGTAAGTCAGTGTTAGCCTGCTAGACCCATGTAACTCAGTCATCCCATGCTGGCTCAGCTGTAGACAACAGCCAACACCAGACATATAAATGAAGTCATTCTGTATTAACCAGCTCCAGCTGAGCTGGTTCAGATGGTAAGAGTCACTCAACCAACTCCTAAAATTGAAGGAAATAATGTAGCTTCATTGTTTTAAATCACTACAGGGTGGAGTGGTTTGTTCTCAGCAAAAGCTAACTGAACGCAAAATTAAGAAGGTTCAGGTACAATAAAACATTACTTTACCAAATTAAAATGACTAGCTTATACTCTTATTCTATTTACATTTCATCAGAGAGGAAGGAGATCTCTAAGACAGACTACTGAAAGAAATGGATTGGAATCAGAAATGGACTGGAATCTCCCTGTCTACTTACCAGTTGTGTAACCCTTGCCTACTACTTAATCCTCTCCAAGACTCTGTTTTCTCCTCTTTGAAATGAGGATCAAATTACTACCTGCAATGTCAGGGTGCTCTGAAGAATTCAACAATGTCCACCACAGTAAATCCTCAAAGAATGGTAGCTCTTAATGGCAGCTGTTTCCTTACCCATCCACAAGTCCTTGCTGTTTAATAATCCTGTGTGATTCTTCCCTGGAGATCCTGCCGTGAAACCAGTGTTGTGTCCTATGAATCACTGTTGGAGAAAGGACAACAAGGAGGTTAGGATCTTCACATTCCAATAGAACTGTCTTCTTCAAAGCACAACCAAGTCTTGATAGCCTCGGAGGCCCACGAAACTCTCGTGGACAACTTACATGGCTCACACACTTCACATGCTGCTTGGGGAAGGGTGGGAGCTATTTTATTTTCTTTATGTATAAAGAGATGAGGCCAACGTGCCATGTTTACCTGTACTTAGGGTAGAAGGGTGGAGGGGACTTTGGCTACCAAGGATATTCATCCGCGTGCTTCGCTTCTACAAAAGAAATCCTCATGTTAGCACTAGAGGCAACAGACTGGCACAACCAACAAGTCACTGATGCGTCAATCTCAGGTTAAGGGGCCAATGTTAACCCAGAGAAGGCTTCTGGTGAGGAACACTGGCTCTTACCTATGAACGAAGTCACCTGGAGCATCTAACTCATCACTCGAAACAAAAAGCTTACGGTCCAAAACTACAAAAACCTAGTATCTTTCTAGCTAATACTTTAAGTTGCTTTGACACAGAAGATATGCAAAGAAAATGCCATGAAACATTGATAAACTCTTAGGAAAAAATCAAGAACAAACTGCTGAATTCAAACAGTTCCTCAAAACATCGATCAATAAAACCTCTGATCTTTCAGGGCTTCCTTCTTTCCCGTATATTAGGAAACTACAGGACAGAGAAGGGTTTCTGAGGCAGAGCCTTGTATTATACAGTATTTTGAAATCTGTGAAAACCACGGGGTGGCATTCTTCCCATCTAGTGGGGAAGCTCTAAGCCTCAGAGGTGAATGAGCGACCTAGGGTCCTGAAGCTATCAGTGGTAGTCATGGTAGGAGCTTGTTGGCCTTACTCAGGTGTAAGGCCAGGGCACAGGGCAGCAGTGGACTTCCCTGATGGCAGGGGGCATGTGGAGGAGCCCCCATTACCAATCGTCTCTTGCTGTTGCAAACTCAGATACCCCCATCCAACCATCCACCCACTTGCTGACATCCATAGTGAAGACCCAAGTGGTGGACATGTGACCACAATGGAGTCCTTTCGAGATGGGGGCATCCAGGACTCACCCTCCAGGCATGGCCCTCTTCCAAGGCTGCACTCTGGGCTTCAGCTGGATTCTCGATCACTCTTCCTGTTTGCCCAGAAAAATCCATGGCCACAAGGGAGTTCTCGGAAACACTGCGCTGCAAAGTGAAAGTTATCATTTTTTACAATGCAGGAAAACAGGCCACATGAGCACACAGGGAAGTCTTGGTATGAAAACAAGATGGCCATGAATGGATGGAAGAGAACACTCCTTCCTCCCCAGCTCTCTACTGGTTCAGGGTGACAAGTCAGTGACACCAGGCTTTGGTTTTTCTTTACAAGTATTCCTTATAGTATTCAAAAGGTGGCAATAGCAGGATTCGGGCAGCTGACTCAGTAGGATTTTGACTGTATGGTCTTTCCAAGCCTGCCTGTCTTGTACTGAGAAACAAAAGTACTCGATAGGAACCCAGTATTCTGAGGTATACGGGTACTAGGACTCTTTCTGTGGCACGCTTTTGCTTTCTCACAGGAATATATACTGAACAAACTTTTAAGAGGATGAACTATTTCTGCATTTTTGGGAGGCAAAGTGAGCCATGAGAACACAAGTCCATGAACTCTGTAAATTCTCACCAGAGAAAAAAGAGCACAATGGTCAACTGTAGTATGGATTCCAGGAGTTAAAGAACAGCCGTCAAAGGTGAGACAGACACTTTCTCAGTACAGCTAACCGCTGCTGTTCACAGCTACCTAACCACCCTTGAGGGGGATGAGTTGGGATGGGGAGAAGAACCTCAGAGGAATTTGCCCTGCAGTTACACTGTTCACACTACAAAACTACTCAGTTTCCTGGGAAATGGAATGTTGTGGAACACACTGTTTCCCTGAAACGCATGTGCGGCCTGGAGCTTCTCCTGGCAACCCAGACAGAAATGAGGCATCCAGAACACCTGCTGACCCTGCTGAAAAGGAAACGTAACCTGTGCAGGTGACAGCTGTTACTTACCACAGGTGTTGAGAAGGGCGAGACCAAGGCTTTTCTCTGCTGAGGGATCCTGAAATTCTGGTACAGAAGCATTCCACACTGAAGGGAAAGGGGACAGGCCTGAGTCAGTCACCAGGGCTTTGTGAACAACACAGGCAGTGAACGGCCATGCCAAGTACAGCAACGAAAACCAGCCTCTGCGTACGGAAGTACGTCATATGATACGGCACACTCCTCTCTCTCCATCCTACACTACTGTCACTCATGGAAGAGTAATAACGCACAGATTCCAGAACACGGGAGAAAGTAATGAGGACGTTGTTGTTGCTACTGCCGTCGAGTTGGCTCCAACTCTCAGCGACCCTGGATAGGGTTTTCACGGAGTGGCTGGTGAGCTTGAACCACAACTTTGCAGTTCAAACTGACCCAGCGGTCCAGTGCACTAACCCAGGACACCAAGGAGGACATTAATAGATGTAATAATGGTAAGATCAAGAACTTTATTGGGTGTTATTATGGCCAAGTATTCTTCTAAGTGTTTTATGCTACTAGTTCATAAAATCCTCTCCAAGCTATGGATATAAAGTGTTGTTATTGTTGTTAAGGGCTGTCGAGTTGGTTCCAACTCATAGCGACCCTGTTTCCGCGGAGCAGCTGGCGAGCCTGAACTGCCGACCTTGTGGTTCAAACCAACTTTGCAGTCTAGCTCATTAACCTGCAGCACCATACCAGAAAAGTCTGGGTATTATTATCCCCGTTTTATTGACAAGGGAAGTTGTGAAACACAGAAAAGTGAAGCAATCTGTGTCTGACAATGATAAAGTAAGTATTCAGGGATTGAAAGCATATAGCCTGCCCTGAACCCATGCTCTTCCTAAGCACCAGGCTTACTCTGTAACCAGCTAGTGCGTCATGCTTTCTTTAGCCTGCCAACTGACTCGTAATGGCTCTGCCAAGTTGCATATGCTTCCAAAATCCCAATTAAAACCCCTAATTTACCAAAAAACTACTAAGAAAAGGACAGAAAATTATCAAGTGGGTTACATCTCTCTCTTGATCTTCTTTCGTGGAATGTTAACTCAGTTGCTGACCTAGGTTCTAAAGCCAAGTAGTAATTTCTAAAATACAAATATGATAAACATACTGGAAAGGTCTAACAGAGGTACAACTGCACAGCCATGAGAAAAGAGAGAACTGGGAAGAAGAACTATTTAAAGAGATAATGGCCAAGAATCTTTAAAACACAAAAAAACAACAAACCAGATATTCAAAGAGTAGGAAAAATACAAAGAAACCCACACCGAGGCACCTCATGATAATTTTACTGAAAAAAAAACAACCACAAAGAAAATATTAAAAACAAACCACCAAGAACAGTCTTTTTTTTAACAGGAGCAGCTACAAGGCAGTCAGCTGACTACTTTTCTACACAAACAATGAGTCAGAAGACAATGCGATATGCAAAAGTGTTGAATAAAATAACTGTCAATTTAGGATTCATCAATTCGAGGGGAAAAACATCCTTCAATAATAAAAGTGAAATAAAAAATACCAGACAAAGATACATTGAAAGAATTTGTCAGAAAGCCCACCCTACAAAACCTGCTGAGTGGAATGACTCTGACCTCAAAATATAAGGATAAAGAATAAGGTACAAAATAGGTAAATTTGTACTTCAGTAAAGAATAAGGTACAAAATAGGTAATTAAAATAAAAAACCTGACCATATAAAACAACAGTAGGCTTTAAAATGTGGAAAATATATAGGGAATTAAGATATGAAAGGAGTCCTGCTATGGCAGTGTGGGTTAATGTGCTGGACTGCTAAGTAGGTTTGAACTGTAAGGTTGGTGGTTCAAGCTCACCAGTCACTCCTTGGAAATCCTATAAAGGGTCACTCTAGGTCAGAACCGACTTGATGGCACTTAACAACAACAACAACGAAGATATGGAAAGAATACTTTGGAAAAGATAAGGTAAGTAGAATGTTCTGACATCGGCCTGGAAGAAGTAACAAGTAGTTTTGTTGTGAAGTGCCGTCGAGTCAATTCTAACTCATAGTTACCCTACAACGGGTTTCTGAGGAGCGGATGGTGAGCTTGAACCACAGACGTTGTGGTTCAAACCAACTTGCAGTCCGGCGCATTAACCCACAGCACCACACCAGGACGCCAATGAAAAGGAATGGTTATTGGTTGTTATGTGCTGTGGAGTCAGTTCTGACTCATAGCGACCCTGCACAGGGTTTCCTAGGCTGTAAATCTTTATGGGAGCAAAAAGTCTTATCTTTCTCCCACAAAACCGCTGGTTGTTTCAAACTGCTTTCCTTGAGATTAGCAGCCCGATTCATCACCACTATGTTACCAGATGTTAAATTTTAATAAGTTAAAGATGTTACACTATCTAGAGTTACCACTGATGAGATAAAGGCATGCATAACAAAGATACTTGATGAACTTAAAAAAAAGAGAGAAAAAAAAGAATGCACAGTAGATGGAACAAATTGAAAAATAAATAACATATTTAAATATAAATATTAATGATTATGCTAAATGATAAAATTAAATCACAATCGTCAAAATAAAAACGTAAAGATCATCAGTGGGGAAAACACGCCATTGTGGGTATTACAGGTATTGTTGCTGCTACTGTTGTTAAGTGTCCTCGAGTCAGTTCTGACTCATAGTAACAACTGTATAGGGTTTCTGAGGATCAGACGGTGGCTTTGAACTGTCAGCCTTGTGGTTAGCAGTCCAATGCTTATCCTACAGCACCACACCAAAATTTATGCTAAGTGCCATTGAGTTGGTTCCAACTCTTAGTGACCCTGTGAGGTTGAACTGACTTTGCAGTCCAACACATTAACCCACAGCACCACATATAGATATACCCTAAATAGAAGGATCCAGAAAAGATGGAAAACAAAACAGAAAACATGCGAAAGATAATCAAAATAAAGTTGAGGTATACACGTTATCTTTTTCACGTATGAGAAAGAAAGGCAGATAGGGAAAGAGAAAGAGACAAAATTAAACCTTGTCCAAAGAGTCCTGGTGTGGCACTGTAGGATAAGCACTGGACTGCTTACCACAAGGTTGCTACTGACTCCTCAACAGTACTTAAAACAAAAGAAAAATTAGGCCTTTTGTCCCTAGTTCCTGGGAGATAATCTCTAAGCCTTTGGAATACTATGCCTGATCCTTTGTTTACCTGAGAGCTTTGGGACAAGCCACAAAGCTATAATGTTAAGTGCCACGGAGTCATTTGGGTTTCTGAGGAGCAGCTGGTGAGACTGAACAGCTCACCTTGTGGTTCAAGTCAACCTTGTGGTCCAGTGCTTAGCCCACAGTGCCACACCAGGACTCCTAGCCTATATTGTTGTTAAGTACTGTCGAGTTCGTTCCGACTCCTAGTGACTCTGTGTAGGGTTTCCGAGGCACTTGGGGTTCGCAGTCCGGAGTGGCTCCTACAGCACCACACCAGAAGCCCTGCATTGTTACTGGTACGTGATTCACGGTGGGGCTTTAGACCACAGAGTAGAAATTCAAGCTCTGGAAAGGAAAGAGACTAAGGTCCACCATGCAGGCTTCAACTGTGTGTGTCCCCCAATAAAAATTCTGGACATCAAGGAGTTGTCAACAGCTGGTTGTCTTCACTGCAGCATGGTGAATGAAAAATAACTCATGCTACTTAACTGCTTTGACTGTAAGGTTAGTCTGTGCACTTTATGAGAGACCACACACACTGGGACTGTTGTACATGGGGCTGTCCTAAGTCTGGTTCATATAGAAACACTTTAAAGAGCTTCTACTACTAAACTAACAACCTAGAGGCCGTAATCAATATAAATGGGAAGAGAACATGAATTCTTGAGTAAATACAGATAATAAATGCAGAAACATTCACTTGATCAACTAAAAACAATTATTTAAAAACTATTTAATAAAGTGCAATTTTATACCTAAAAATACAAACTCACCAGTCATGGATGAAATACAAAAAAAAATTTTTCACGCTTTATAATTATAAAAGTGTAACAAGAGAACTATAACAGGAGAAACGAAGAAGCAAATTTTGCAACGACATATATTGGGAAAGAAGCAAAGTTTAAAATTAATGATCTAAGTAGACTTTTCAAGATATTATAAAAATATAATTAAATTAAAGCAAAGAAAGAAAATGGAAGGGAAAAAATGTATTGTGTAGCATAGTGGGTTACACTTTGGGATGCTAAACCCAAGGTCAGCATTCGAAGCCCACCAGCAACTTTCTGATTCCATAAACATTTACAGCCTGGGAAACCCTCAACAGGGTTGCTATGAGCCACCACTTCCTTTATATTTACACACACACACACACACACACACACACACACTCCTGGTGTGGCTGTAGGATAAACACTGCACTGCTTAACTACATGGTCTGCAGTTCAAATCCATATACAAAACCATATACAGGGTTGTTATGAGTTTGTTATGAGTTGGAACCAACTCGACAGCACTTAACAACAACTATATATATAAACACATATACAAGGCCAAATAAAAAATATTGCTACAACATCACTGAAATCTTTTATTAAGATCTGGAAAAAAACAACAAAATATGAAGTTATTGTTTCTTAACATCCTTCATCTGTAGCCTTCTGACAGAAGTGTTTCCATCTCTTTAATTCTTCCCTCAAGAATTCTATTCTCTTCAATTTATGCCTCCGTCAAAATGGCACTTTTGGCATCCCTGATGGGCTCAAATCCTGATCCTTTTCCATGTTCTTTGAGTTTTGGAAAGAAAAGGAATCCTGAAGGGCCAAGATCAGGGTGGGATGGGGAAATTCTCAGTCTGTGATGCTCTAAAAAATGAGCAGGTGTGTTGTTAGGATGGAAAAACAAAAACTTCCTGGGCACAAGTTTCCCGGCTCTTTTCTCACCAATGCAGTTTTCAATTTTCTTGAAAACTTCTTTCTACTAAGTCCCAAGATCGTTCTATGTCCTTGAAGAAAATCTATCAAAGGATCCTAAAATACGGTTGCCATAACCTCTGAGCTGACCTACCTCTCTGTCTTGAATTTAACTCTCAGAAGCCATTGCTTTGATTGGATT